AGCTGCCACCCCACACCCCGGCCAGAGCCAGCCGGCATGCCCACGGTCTTGAGTTACCCAGAGCGAGAGGGGCCAGGTAGTGTTTCTGAGGGAAAAGGAGGTGCCCGCACTCCTGGGGGTTCCCTGGGGCAGCCTGGGATCGGAGGGATTGCATCTCCTGACTTCAAAGGGGCCCCAGACCCGCTGAAACCCACACCCATGCGCACCAAGGGGCCTTGCCAAGAGCCCGGGCGGGGGCGGGAACCAGAGACCCTGGGCACACCCGCTGCCCCATGCCTGCCCTGCCGTCCAGGCCCAGAGGCTGTTCGTCCAGCCCCTGCAGGGGCCGTGGGCAGAGAGTGGCCTTGGGTCCTGCAGACAGAACGTCTGGCCCCTGTCCTAGGGCCAAGTGAAGAGGGTGTCGGGATGGCTGAGCTCTGCCCACAGGCTTGGCACCCCCAGGGAGGGGAAGGGTGCCTGGGATGAGGGCCACAGTGCAGAGCCACTGTGTCCAGCACAGGAGCACGGTCACAAGCAGGCCAGCTTCTCATTCCCTTGTTTCTTCGCTGCATGCTGTGTGGCACGTGGCACCTGAAAGCAGCCACCATCTGCTATCTCACACGGTTTCCAAGGTCAGGAGTCCAGGAGCGGCTCCGCAGAGCAGGCAGGCTCAGGGGCTACCCAATTTTGCCCTGGAAGGTTGGCAGGGGCTGCAGTCTCGTCTGGAGGCCCGACTGGGGCTGGAGGAGCCACGTCCAAGGTGGCGGCTCCCATGGCTGTGGGCGGGAGACCTCAGTGCCTCACACGTGGGCCTGTCCACGGGGCTACTGAGCGTCCTGCAACGTGGCAGCAGCGGCCCCAAAGTGGGCGACTGACAGCGAGCAGGGCGGAATCCTAATGCTTCATATCACCTAATTTCTAGAGCCGAACACCCTCCCTTCCCCCATACTCTGTGCTTTAGCCAGCCTCCATGCCCAGCCCATGTTGAAGGGGAGGGGATTGGGCTCCACCGTTTCGAGGGAGGCGAAATCAAGGATTTTGTGGCTGAATTTTATGCCCATCATCCCCATGATTTGACAGCTTCTCTCCAAATCACAGATGTACTTGCCCTTTGACCCCCCATCTCTCCTTAGACTCTACACTGCAGGCCTTACCTGCAGGCTGTTTGTCGCCCTACTGTTTATAGGGGCCATGGGGGGTGGTGCTGGATGCATAAGGAGCTGTCCCTTCATCCCGTGGAATATTCTGTAGCTGTGTGTGGGTGGAGAGAGGAGCGGACAGACGGACAGACAGGAATCTCTTTGTGGAGTCCTGTGGAATGATCTCCAAGACACAGTGTTAAATGCAAAAGAGAAGTAGGGAGCAATGAGCGTAGCCGACTCTCCTTTGTTGTGATACTCGTATTTGCTGGTATTTGCATCGAGAAACTCTGGAAGGAGACACGAGAATCTGCCTCCAGTGCTCACCCAGCAGGACTGGGGCAGAGGGCCCACGGGGCCGGGCTCCGCATGAGGCTTTTCTCTGCAGACCTCGGAGCATCGTCTCGGGTTTGGGAACCACATGAATGTGTCCTCTATGCACACACTTCCTGGCAGAAGGAAATGTAAAATACTCCTCAAACCTGGGGGGGGGGGCGGAGCAGGCGGCTGACCCCCAGCCCTGCAGGGACCCCCGGGCCAAGCCCCTTGAGCTCACCCATCCTGCCGTGACCCCGGTAGCAGCCCTGCTGGCTCTGCACAGCGCCAGGCAGGGGGCTCCTCTGGTGGGGAGGGGGGTTCTCCACCTCAGCCACACACCACATGGATCCTGACACACTTTCCATTCTCTCGGCAGCCAAGACATCCTCCTTCCTCAGGAAATTGACCTGTACGGTGACCCAGCTGACGGCCTGACTCCCCAGGTACGTAGCCGGGGACAGCTGGCCGCACTCAGGCCGCCCCTCGGGCCTTCTGGAGATGCCCTTGGCCCCGCCCCAAATCCCACCCCACCACCCCCGGCCGGCTACAGCCCACTCTGCAGTAACGGGGCTGCCTGCTGCCTCCCCAAGAGACCCTCCCCCAGACCCCGCCGTGGGGGGCTGGCCTCTGGCTTCAAACCACAGCCCTGGGCGTGGGAGGGGGTGTGGATGGCAGGGCATCAGCTCGCCAGCCCCTCATTCTGCGATGTCCTCACTGTATCGCCCTTGTGCTGGCAATGGAACAGTTAGGGTTTTAACCAGGGAAAATATGTGGGTTTGCACACGCTTTCTGCTAGATGCCTTATGGAGAGGTATTGGCTTATTTTGCCCTCTGAGAAGGTTCTTGGTCACAGATGGAGAGACCAAGGCTAAGCAAGGCTGACGGCATGCCAACGTGGGGCAGGGATCTGAGCCAGGGCCGCTGGGCCCACCGGCCCCCCGCACCTGCTCCCCCTGCCGGGGGGCACAGCTTGAAGCCTGGATCTGCGGGGCCTTACCTGCCAGCCGCTGGAAATCTCTGGAAACCATGGGGAGGCCTAGGCCCGCCCCCTCCTCCGCACCAGTGTCCCAGGGACCAGCTGCTCGGGGGCTGGTGGGGAAGGCCCATGAGGTCAGAGGCCCTCACCCGTCCACACACCTGATCCCATGGGCTGTGAGGCCCTTTGCAGTTGAAGCCCTGGGCCTGGGTCTGGGGCGGCCTGAGTCCTGCCCTCGGGCTCTGGGAAGCTCAGGAGGGTAGGTCCCCTGGGGCCAGAGCCCCTCCACTCCGAGTGGGGGCAGGGCTGGCTCCTGGGCCACCACCCTGGAAGTGGGGCCACGCTCTGGCTGCGGGGTGTTCCCGTCGTCAACAGCCAGGGGGCATACCTCAAGAGATACCCTGGCCTGGGTCAGAGAGCACAGAGGCAGGGCCACCCTTGCCCAAGTGGGCTGCCTGCTCACTGCAGGCCCCACTCCACATCCTGCGGAGGCCACGCCGCCCTTTGTGACCCGACGCAGCTCCCTCGGTCCCTTCCCAGGACACAGCACCCCTTCTACGTGTCCCCAAGCCGCCCTGCCCCTGCCTGTGTCCCAAGTGCCCCCAGGCTGCCCCCACCACCAGCAAACCACTGCCACCTTCCCCAGGATGCTCCCCCTGATGCCACGAGCTGGCCGAGCAGCCCAGCCACCGCGTGCAGCCTCGGCCTCCACAAAGGCAGCAGGATGCAGCCCGTGCTCGGCCATAGCAGGAGTTACTGCTGCTCACATCTAGTGGCCACACTGAGCCATGTGGCCAAGCCTGCTGGCAGGGGGACAGGCTGGGACGGTCCTTCCACAGGGAAGGTAGAATCTTGAGTAATAATTCCATCTACCTCCCCAGAGCCCCAGAGAGAGCCTTCTCAGCAGAGCTTGGGGTGCTGGCCTTCATAGTGATGCGTGTGCCCCAAAGGAGGTGGGCTGTGGGGCCAGAGGCTTCTGGTCCCCCTTAAAAACCCACATAGGTTGCCCAGGTCACCCTGCTCCAAGGCGGTGCCACAGCCTGGGGGGCCCACAGACCCCAGGCAGCTTCTGGGAAGCCCCTGCACAGAGGGGACACTGAGGCTCGGGGAGGTGCCAGCCCTCCCTGGGGAGCGCCCCCGTGTACCAGGCACTGAGCCAGCTTATGTGACCGTTGAACCTTAGGGCCAACCAGTGGGGGAGTCATCGTGAACCATCCCTACAAGGTCAAGGGTGTGGGAGCTGACCTTCCCCCAGCTGTGAGAGCCTCTGTGCAGGACCCCAGACCCAGGCAAGACCCCAGACCCAGGGCCCGGGCTCCGCGGAAACACAACTAGTCAGCAAACCACACTAACAGCACACATTCTTCGAGGGGCCTGTTCTGCCCTTGGGGCACAGCCACCAATGTCTTCTGCACCAGCCGGGGGCTCCACCGAGACCCCCATGTCCCAGGGGCAGGGACACTGAGGGCCTTGCCGCCAGTCACATGGCAGGTCAGTGGCCGAGCTGGGAACGTCCAGGAGGGCCCTGCCCCCTCCCGAGGCCACACCGCTCTGGAGCGCAGGGAGCTCTGCCGGGGTCCTGGCCCTGAGCACATGTGTGGACCGTGTGCGGCGCCGCCCAGCCTGGAGATGGGGCCATGTGGGGATCCCAGGGACCCAGTGCTCCCCACCAGCACCGAGGCCCCTGTCTCCACTCCTCACCCATCACCCAGGGCTCGTGGTACCATTTCTGGCCTCCCGAGCCAGCGCAAGAACAGAAGGACCTGACAGAAAATGCTCAGTGCCCCAGCCCACAGCGGAGCTCGGAAGGAGCACAGTACTGCTCTTACCATCACAGATTCGTTTAACAAACGTCAGCCTTTGCCGTAAGGTCTCCCAGTCCCAGAGGGAAAGGGGAGTGGAGGACGGGCCCCAGGCAGCAGGCCGGAGGAGTGGGTGAGGCTGCTGCTTAGGAGGGTGATGGGGTGTGGGGGGACCTCTGGGGGTGGGGGCAGCGCCCTCCTAAGAGACTGAGGGGTGCTTGCACCCCAAATCAGGCACGACACCCCTCCTCAGTGGGGCAGCCCCTGGGCAGGTCTCCACGTACAGGAAGGGGGCACCAGCGGAGCCTGGCGCAGCCTGGAAATGCACGTGCAGGCCCCACCTTCCGGGGGCTGACCAGAGGGTCCCCCAGGCAGGGCCAGCCACGCCAGGGACAGACTCTACGAGCGCAGCCTCACCTCCTCAGTTCCCACAGCTCTGGGCAGGTGAAGGCGGCCCCGTCCTCCTTCCTGGGCTGTCCCCCGGTCCCCCCAGGTTTCTCTCAGGCCACGCCGATGGCCCCCACCGTGGGGGCTCTGCAGGTCAGGGGGCTTGTGTGTCCCTGGCCGGGACCTAGCAGGGCTGGTTTGAGGGCGGCCAGGGGTCTTCTCAGACCCCCTCTGCCCCAAAGGGAAGCCTCCCCTGAGGGCAGGGGCTCCTGTGCAGCCCCCAGAGCACCCCCCTCACCCTGTGCTTTCCTTGCAGGCTCCATTCAGGACCATGAGAACAGGCTTCTCCAGGGGCCCCCTCGGACAACCACGTCCTCCCAGCGCCCAGAAGGAGGGGCCATGCCTGGGGAGCAGCCCCGCCGAGCACCGCCCCCAACCATGACCCGAGACCTGCAGCCCTGCCAAAGAGCAGGTGGCACGGGGGGCCCTGCCCAGCCCCCTGGTGAGGACGGTGCCCCAGCCAGCAGGACCGCCAAGGCCACGGGCAGCAGGGCCCAGGCGGTGGAGCCTCCAGAATCCCAGCCGTGGCAGGCCGGGGAGGTGGAGCCCAAGGCCCCGCTCCTAAGAACCCAGTCCCTGAGCAGCCCCCCGGGGAAGGGAGGCAGCCCCCAGGCCCCACCGGGGAGGAGCCACGCGCAGGCGCTCACGCAGCAGGCCAGCAGGGCAGACGGCAGCCCCCAGCAGCTCTATAATCTGAACATCTCCGGCTCGAGGGCCAGACCCACCCTGGACAAGACTCCTGAGCGCCCACAGGGCGAGGACCCCGGGCCCCCAGAGGCGAAGGCCCCACCCACCCCAGAAGAGCTCAGTTTCCAAAGGTGCTTCCAGGAGACCCCCTCCAGCTTTACCTCCACCGACTATACCTCACCGAATGCCACCTCTGGGCCCCCACCCCTCAGGGCCCCCCCGGGCAGCAGGCTAGCCTCCTACTCGGGATTCCAGGCCGGCGGGGCTGACGGCTGGCCTCCCACTGTTGAGAACAGCTTCCCAGGTGCTAGATTCGAGGTCCCTGCGGCCAAGCCGGAGCCCTTTCCCGAAGGGGACGGCCCCAGGGCGGCTTCCTTCCAGTACCCCTTCCAGGCACTGCATGGGCCCGGCCCGAAACCGTTCCCCGAGGACACAGTCCCGCCCGCGTACGGGGAGAGAGCGCTGGTATTTGCCTTCCGCCAGCCCAGGGGAGCATGGCCAGAGGAAGCAGTGGGCACAGGCACAGCCTACTCCCTGCCCGCCCGGCCCGCTCCCCAACCCCCAGCCTGCTACCCTGGCCGGCCCGGCCTTGACCCCCCCAGTGACCTCGGCTGTGCTCCCCCACAACCTGGTGCTGCTCCCCCAGCCCCCAGCCCCTTCTCGGAGAGCACAGCCACCTTTCCGGACACTTTGCACAAGAGCCTGACCAAAGCCCTCCCTGAGAGACCGCCTTCGGCCCACGACGACAGGTTGGGAAGCCCCAGGGGGCCCCCAAACTCTCTGTCACAGAGGCACTTCCCTGGGCAGACCTATGGCAGTCCTGGGGCCAGTGGAGTGGGGACCAGCCCAGGGTCTCTGGACACGGAGCTGGCCACCCCAGGGCCCCTGCCTACCAGACTGCCCCAGCTGTGGGACCCTGCTGCAACCCCTTACCCCACACCTTCCCTGGGCCCCCCAGCCACCGCCAGGAACGCCTTCTTTGAAGGCCAGGCCAGCCTAGGCCCGCGCCTTGGCCTCCCCCGGAGCCCCCCACTGCCCTGGCCGCAGGTGCTCCCAGCTACCGGGCCCAGCCCCCACCGCATGGAGGTGCTGAGCCAGCTGCCTTTCCCCGCAGGGGCCCCCGAGTGGCAGGGGGGCGGCCAGGGAGCTCTGGGTGCTGCCGGCAAGACTCCGGGGCCCGGGGAGAAGGTGGCTGTTCTGAGAAACAGCCCGGGCCAGCACGGTGGCGGATCCCCGGGACTGTTTGCCTACAACGGGCTGAAGGACCCTGGAGCCCAGCCCCTGTTCTTTGGGGTGGCCCAATCCCAGGTCTCACCCCGGGCGACCCCCGGCCTGCCCCCGCCCAGAGTGGTGGGCGCCTCTCCCTGCGAGTCCCCGCTGCCCTCACCTGCCACCAACACAGCCAGCAACAGCTCCTGCTCTTCACTGTCCCCGCTATCTGGCAGCCCAGCCAACCCCAGCTCGGAGGAGAGCCAGGCCCCCGGCCCACGCGGGCCCTCCGCCTTCTTCCACGGCCCCGCTCGCCCCCCGGAGACCAGCAGCCCCTACCCATCCCCCGAGCCCCCACACGCCGTCCCCATGCACTACCAGCCAGAGTCTGCCGGAGCCTTCCCTTTCCCCGCCGCAGAGGGACTGGGGGCCGAGGGCACCTTCAAATGCCTGGAGGAGGCCCCCTTCGCGGGCTCAGGCCCCGAGGTGGGCAGCGACAGTGGGCTGGAGGGCTTCCCCCGGGAGCCACCCCCCTACCCCGCCCACCACTTCCCCCTGAGCAGCGCCAGCCTGGACCAGCTGGACGTGTTGCTCACCTGCAGGCAGTGCGACCAGAACTACAGCAGTCTGGCCGCCTTCCTGGGCCACCGGCAGTTCTGCCGCGCGCTCCTGGCCAGGGCCAAGGACGGCCTCCCGCAGCCCCCAGGCCTCCCCAGCCCCCCCGCCACCACCAAAGCCCCAGCTGGTGGGAACCCCAGCCTGCTCAGCCACCCCAAGACGGGCCCCTTCCTGCTAGGTGCGGACCTCCGGGCTGACAGCAAAGAGGACCCCCTGAGGACCAGCTTCCTGCCCGGCCTGGCCGCAGCCCCCTTCCCCCTCCCCGCTGCGGACCTGGACCCCGAGGACGACGCCAAGCTGGACAGCCTCATCACCGAGGCCCTCAACGGCCTGGGGTACCAGTCAGACAACCCCGAGATCGACAGCAGCTTTATCGACGTCTTCACTGACGAGGAGCCTTCCGGCCCCAGAGGTGCTGGTGCCGGGCAGCCCCCCAAGACCAGGGTGGGGACAATGCCGGAGAACAAAGCCCAGCCCCCACTCCCGGGCGAGGCTGCCCTGCAGGAACCCCAGGTCCCCCGCCCTGGGAATACAGGCTGCCCGGCCCGCAGCCGGCCCAAAACCCGCTCCCTGGGCCCAGCGCCCACAGAGGCAGACGGGGCTGGCCTGGCCAGCCAGCAGAGGAGAGGGAAGCGGTTTAAGTTGTTGCAAAAAGATCTGGACACCTCCAGCTCCACCAAGAGCCAGAAGGGCCCCCGAGCCGCTTGCCTGAGGCCAAGGAGGAAAGGCCCCGGGGCTGAGGCACCCCTGCCCCGCCCCCGGGACCTCAGGACCCCGGCCGCCAGGAGCCTCGCAGCTCCTGCCAGACAGGCCCTCCCGGTGGAGACCAGGAGCTCACAGCGCCTCCGCCTGTCCCCGGGGCAGGACTCCAGGAGGAGGCGGCTGCGGGGCGGCACCTGGAGCAAGGAGCTCATCCACAAAATCGTTCAGCAGAAGAACAAGCACCACAGGCGGCCGGGGCAGCGCCTCCCCCTGGGACCCTCAAGGCCGGTGCCCAGCAGCGCGGAGCAGGGGCTCCCAGAGCTCACCTGTGCCTCCGAGTCGGAGGAGGAGGACTGCTCGCGGCCACACCCACACGGCTCCCGCCTCCGAGGCCGGCCCCGCCAGGGCTGCCGGCGGTGGCGCCGAGGCACGAAGCGGAAGGAAGTGGACGTGACCCCGGGTCCCAGGGAGGATGGGGGGCTGCAGAAACCCAGGATGGTCGTGAGGCGGGAAGCCACCCAGGTCGGGGGCGCCCCCAGCCCTGAGGAGAAAACCCCCAAGCATCTTCTGCAGGTTCCTGCCAGTGCCAAGACCCCAGAGGAGAACCGTCTGGCACTAGACTTCCCCAGGGAGACCAAGCACCCCGGAACTGCTAAGGAGCTCCCCCCAGATGCCACAGAACTCCCCAGAGAGGCTCCGAGCTCTTCTCCAGCCTCCCGTGGCGGGGGAAGCCCCCGCCCCCCAGCCCCAGAGCCGCAAGAGCCGGGCAGAGAGGACCCCCGGGTGTCCCACGGAAGTCTGCCGGGCGCTGCCCAGTGCACAGAGCCACCCCCCTCCCGGGACACAGAGGACCCCCCTGCCTACCCACCAGGAGAGCTGCTGGTGCCGGTCGCTCATGCCACTGACACTGCCTACCTTGAATCGGGAGCCCTCTTTTTGAAGACCCCTGATCTTGGCTGCAGCCCTGGTCTTCTTAACAGAGACCCTGTGGGGGTTCCACTTGCCAAAAAGGGGCCCCAGCCCTACAGCAGCCCCCCTAGCAAATTGTTCCTCGGACCCAAAGACCTGCCTGGCTGTCTCCGAGAAGACCTCTACTCCAAGCCCTTAGCGCCAGATGCTCCGTCGGCCGGCAGCACGCACCTGCCCCAGGACGGTGTGGACGCCAGTGCCCTCAAGCCAAAACCACCCAGGAGTCTACCCTACGCCACCCACGGGGGTCCCAGCAAAGCCGAATCACCGCTGACTTTGGAGTCCACACCACTCTTCCCGGGGCTGCCTGTGGGCAGATTTGACCCGCCCGCCTACAGCAGCCTGTCTGGAAGCAGAGACACCCACTCCCTGTTGGTGTGCGCAGACCCTCCCCCAAGGAGACCCCAGTTAGAGCCGCCATACTCCCCGCTTCTGCCCGACAAGGGCTGGTCCCTGCTGGAGGAGTCCCCAATGCTGGCCAGCCACATGGGTCATCTTCCTGACCTCCTGGGGGAAAAGGCGTTGAGTAGGAGGTGCCCCGGGGAAGGGGCAGTGGCCGCCAGCCCTCCACTTCTGCCTGGCAAGCTCAGCGAATGTGGCTTTGCTTTTATGGGCAGCCTGTCCGAAGATGAGTTAGAAATCAAAAGACTGGTCGCCGAATTAGAGAGTCAGCTGCAGAGTAAAGGGGTGCCTGAGGCCCCAGAACTGCTGTGCACGGCTGGGCAGGCAAGCAGGACGCACGCGGGCACAGGGGCCCCTCTGCCCACCCGCCAGGCCGCCTTGCCCCCCAGGGACACCTTCTCCGAGGCCAACCTCACCGGCCTTGGGGAGTTGACTCCATGCCCAGAAGGGGCAGAAACAGCAGTGGCCACCAGGGAAGGGGGGCCGGGGAGCACCCAGGAGGAGTGGCCCTCCCCCGACCCAGGAGAAGCAGCCCTTCCCCCCCCTGCACATGCAGAAGGGGCGTCTGGGGCTCCTGGAACCCTCAGTGGGGACGACCGCAACTTCCGAGCAGTACAGAGAGCCAGAGTCTCGGAGACAGGCCCCCCCAAGCCCGAAGAGGACTGTGGGGTCCACGCGGAAGTCTCTCTGCCCGGCTCTGGAGAGCTGTTCAAGCCTCCACTGGACGTGAGGAGCTTAGCCAAATGCAGCCCAAGCCGTGAGCCGCTACGTCCAAAAAATAACAGGGCTGCCAAGATGCACCCAAGCCACGTCCTGCTGCTCCCTCCCTGCTCAGAGGCAGGTGGGTCCTGCCAAGAGCCCCCTGAGCGGGAAGCGTTTGGCAACCCACTCGCCCATCTGGCACCCGGCTTGGTGCCTCAGGGGGCCACCCCGTCTTGTGGTGTCCGTCATAGCGACGCCCCCAAAGGATACTCTGTAAGCAGGGCAGACCAGCCAGAAGGAGCAGGCCTCCCCCATGCTGGGGCGGGGGGCCCTGGCCTTAAGGGTAATGAGGAGTCTGTAGCCGTGGGGGCCTCCCCAAGTCCTGCCTGCGTGCCCAACAGCAGTCCTGGGAGGAGGCCCCAGGACCCAGCCACGAGCCCCCTCCGTCAGCTGCAGCTCCTGGTGGCCAGAGCGGCTGGGAAGGAAGAAGATGCCTTGGGCTCACAGGGGCCCCCACCTGCTGGCACCCAGAGCCCTCGGCGCAGTGAGCCCTCAGATCTGGAAGGGGACAGCGTGGAAGGTGGGGACGTGGCCTGCAGCCCCACCCAGGACGTCCCTGCAGCGGCCAGATGTCAGTTGGGGCCTGAGGCTGATGGACATCTGGACTCCCTCGGCCAGGCTGAGAAGCCTGAGGACCAAGACAGAGCCGGCAGACTGCAGCCAGATAAGTGGGGGAGTCCAGTGGGGCTGGACAACCTCCTCACGGTCAGTGCCGATGCTGAGACCGCCCTGGCCAGGCTGGCCAGGGATGCGCACCAGCTAGGGGGACAGCTCCAGGGAAACGGCCTGGTCTTGGGCCTTCAAAAAGAGGCCTGGGCCACCCCAAGCCCTACCTCATCTGATGCAGAATCTTCAGTACCAGCCTTGGTAGCAGCCCACGTCCAAAATGGGCCTGAAGCCCGGACTTCAGAGGAGGCGGCCAGCCCAGGCCTTGAGAAGCAGCGGCTGCTCACTGGAGACAGCCCTGCTCCCCCCATCAGGGACCTGACCACCTGTGTCCCCTTGCCTGCTTCTGCAGCCACCTCCATTCCCTCTGGCCTGGAGCCCCTGCCCCAGGAAGACCCTCCTATGGGACCTTCGGGTGGGCTGAGGGGGCTGCTCCCAGCCCCATCCTGCGGGGATCCCGCCAGCCCGCAGCTCCTCCCAGGCCCTTCTCCTGCCCGGCCCGCTCCGCAAAGGGCTGACAGCACCCCAGCCAGCACAGATGCTGGGGCTGGACCACCTGCAGCATCTCCCCCATCTTTGAGGACAAGCCCCTGTGGCTTCAAGGAAAGCCTGGCTCACCAGCCCCTCCTGGGGAACCACAGCCCCCTGCAGGACCCTCCCTCGGGCCAGCCTGGCTTCATCAGTGTCTTCACTCCTGCCCAGGGGGAGGACCGCCCTGAAGGCAGCATGTCAGGACCTCTACAGAGTTCCAGGAAGGAGAACCCAAGGAGCTGTCCTGCCTCTGTCGCCCGTTCTCCCCCCGTGAGGCCCACCTCCCCGAGAGGGACCATGAACGCCCCTGCCCTGCCCGACGTTCCCACCACAGATGGCACGGGGGCAGTCAGAGGCCCCGGGGTCAGCCATCCATACCGCCACGGCGGGGGAGCCCCACCCCACACCAGCCCCAGCGGGATGCCCACAGGCCCCACCTCCCCAGACCCCCCAAGCAACAGGGAAGGCCAGGGTGTCACCACTGTGCCCGCTGACCCTTCCACACAGGGGCCCACGGGGCCAGACTCCTGGGCCTGCCAGGAAGACAAGGCGGGGGCTGGCCGCTCTGGAGCCATGACAGCCCCTGGAGCTGACACCACAGACCCCGCCCTCACCTGCCCGTCCACGGAGCTCCGCCGGGGCAGAACCACGTCTCCCAGCAGCACAGCCCGGGACTCCAGACCCAGCTCCTCCCAGAGTGTCAGAACTGTTCACCGCACACCCCAGAGGGACCCCCTCAGTCTGCAGGGTACCAGACAGAAGCCTGTGTCCACAGACATTGCCCCCCGGGAGGACCGGGCCCCCGGCAGGCGGCCCACAACCTGTGAGGTGTGCGCAGCCTCCTTCCGCTCCGGGCCGGGCCTGAGCCGCCACAGAGCCAGGAAGCACGGGCTGCACAGGGGCCCCCCCGCCCCGCCCGGCCCCCAGCGCCAGGCGTGCCAGGCCCCCAGGAAGGAAAGCCTCAGGGCACCTGGGAAGGAGAAGCCAAGGCAGGCGCAGAGCAGTCCCGGCGGTGCCATTGGGCCGCGTCCTGACCGGGGTGCAGAGGCTCCTGAGGACGCGTCAGGCCCTCAGACAGCCAGGGGACTCGGTGCGGGGGACGCCCTAGGCTGCTCCCCCAGCCCGGAACCACACCCCCCAGGCCTGGGTGAGCCGGGAGTGGACATGAGGCCTGCAGAGCCCAGGAAGCAGGGCCGGCTGGTGAGGGACAAGCGCTGTCCCAAACAGGCAGACAAAGGAGGCGTCCAGCAGCGGGGCCAGGCACCCGAGGACATCTCCAGCAAGTCAGAGGGGAAGTCGCAGGATAAGGGCAGAAATCCCAGAGCAAGAAGGTTCCGGGAGGCAAGGAATCCTCCAGTCTGTCCAGGTGTGATTTCAGACAGAAACCGCTGGGGTCCATCCACCACAACCGCCAGTCCCCCGGGGCCTCCAGGTGGCCCCCTCTCAGCGCGGGCCCAGCCGGACGCTGACGCCTCCTGGCCCTCGGTGACGGAGAATGCAGTGGACACAGACCCAGAGGAGACGCCAGCACAGAGATCACCCGGGGATTGGGTGGCCCGTGCGGAGGGGATGGAGTGGGCGCCTCCTGGGGACGGGCCGGGGGGACAGAAAACAGCCGTGGCCAGGGGGTGCTGGGGACCCAGGGAGGCTGGAACATCGGATGTCTACAAACAGCTGTCGTGGGCAGCCGGGACTGAGCCTGCAGGGGACCGCAGAGCAGCGGAGAGCGGGTCAGGGCAAGGAGTCGGGGAGGGGCACGGACCCCGCACAAGCCCCCCAGGCCCTCGGGAGACTGGCAGCTGCCCCCTGAGCCCCCTGCACAACCCAGAAGTGCAGGTCGGGGTCCAGGAGCGTGCGGGCGCCACTCCCGAAGCCCACAGCCCGGGTCTCGGGGACCCTCTGAGCGTGTTTGATGATGACGCCTCCTTTTCGCAGCTCTTCCCTCTGGGCGACCGCTTGACTCGGAAGAAGAACCCCCGTGTTTACGGCAAGCGCTGTAAAAAGCCGAGGGCCCCGCCCCCGCTGGAACCCCACAGCGAGATGGGGGGCAGCATCATGCTGGCCTCCACCCGCCTGCCCACAGACCTCAGCGACTCGGGCTCACTCTGCCTCTCCCACGAGGACCCGTGGGGTGACGAGGCCACGGGTCTGCCAGAGTCCTTCCTGCTGGAGGGCTTCCTGAGCAGCAAGGTGCCCGGCATTGACCCCTGGGCCCCCAGCCCCAGCCTGTGGGCCCTGGAGGCCGACCCAGAGGTGGACTGTGCGGAGGACATGCCCCCCCGCCACGCGGAGGACCGCCGGTCAGAGAACATTCCCGAGCTGCACATGGTCCCGGCCTCTTGGCGAGACCTGGACCTGCAGGCCCCCGCCGAAGGGATGGCCTCTTCTCTAGGAGACAAGAGCCCAGAGCCCCCCAACCTGGAGCAAGAATGCTACGACAGGGGGCTTCCCGGGAACGCCGTGGACCTTGAGATGCTCAGCGCCAAACTGGAGGTGCGAGATCTGTGCTTCCTGACGCCCTGTGACGACCATGTGGGTGTCCTCAGCACGAGCTTCCTGGACTTCGGGGCCACGGTGAGCCCCCAGGAGCCGCAGAGCCCAAGGCCGGCGGGTGCAGCCGGGGCACGAGGGGCGCCGGGCAGGGAGGGGCACGCCAAGGCCAGGAGGGCATCCTACAAGTGCAAGGTGTGCTTCCAGCGCTTCGGCGGCCTGGGCGAGCTGGACCTCCACAAGCTGGCTCATAGCCCCGCGCCACCTCCCACCTGCTACATGTGTGTGGAGCGCAGGTTTGGCTCCCGCGAGTTGCTGCGGGAGCACCTGCAGGAGAAGCACGTGCAGAGCAAGGCAGGGCGCTGGGCCTGCGGCATGTGCCTGAGGGAGGTCGCCGACGTCTGGATGTACAATGAGCATCTGCGGGAGCATGCCCTGCGGTTCGCCCGCAAGGGGCAGGCGCGAAGGTCCCTCGGGGACTGGGAGGGGGGCCAAAGTGTCGCTCGCTTCCTGGGCAGCATCACGGGACAGGCGTCCAGACCCAGTGGGGGCAAACGCTCGATGGGCAAGTCCAACGGGGGCCCCGCAGAGGCGTCGGGGAGACAGCCAGGGGCCGGGAAGGAATTCCAGAGGGAGAGGGTGAAACCCAAGGCTCCTGCCCACGACTCAGCAGATGGGGCTTTGGCTGACAGCAGCCCCACGGCCTGCGGGAACCCCACTCGTCCCAGCGGCTCCTGCAAGACGTCCCCCAGCCTGTCCCCTGAGCCCTGCTCCGGCAGCGAGCCGCTCCTGCAAGGCCTCCCCGTGCACCAGGGCTGCAAAGACCCGTCCCGGGACTGCCACCACTGCGGGAAGCGGTTCCCCAAACCCTTCAAGCTGCAGCGCCACCTGGCGGTGCACAGCCCTCAGCGCGTCTACCTGTGCCCCCAGTGCCCGCGCGTCTACCCGGAGCACCAGGCGCTGCGCGCGCACCTGGGCGGAGCGCACGGGGTGCGGGGGGAGCTGGAGCTGCCGCACACCCCGCTCTACGCCTGTGAGCTCTGTGCCGACGTCACGCACATCAGCAAGCGCTCCTTCGTCTGCAGCTCCTGCAACTACACCTTCGCCAAGAAGGAGCAGTTTGACCGCCACATGGACAAACACCTGAGGGGCGGGCAGCAGCCCTTCACGTTCCGCGGTGTGCGGCGGCCTGGCGCCCCCGGCCAGACGGCGCCGGCCCGCGAGGGCACCCTGCCCAGCAAACGGCGCAGGGTGGCCGTGCCCGGCGCCAACGGGCCTCTGTCCTGGGGCCGCAGCCACCCCCAGAGCGAGGGGTCACTCGCAGCCCTGCTCGAGCCCTGCCCAGAGGCAGCTCCTGGCACCACCAAGGGGCAGCCCAGGACCCCGGAGAGGCCTGTAGAGCCCGTGGGTCACCCGGTCACAGGGGGTAACGTGCCCTCTGACCTCCAGGAACTGCCGCCCCCAGCTCTGTCTCCTTTCCCGGTGGCCTCCGCTGATGGCCAAGGTGGCCGCAAGCCGGATGGGGCCCCAGGGAGGTCTGAAGGTGAGGCTTCTCCGGGCAACCCTGGGCCTCTTCTCCAGCAGGCTCTCCCGCTGGGGGGGTCTGTGCCCCAGCCGGGGGCCAGAGGCCAAGATGTAGAGGAAAAGAGGGCTACTGGCCCATTCTCAGGGAAACGCAGGACCCCGAGTGCCCCTGACCATTGCCTGGAAGCCCCCTCCCTGCTCCAGAAGGAGAAGCAGGTGTCCACAGGCCACACGGCACCTGAGGGGGGCACAGAGGGACCCTCCCACAAGGGCAGTGCCGTCAAGCCTTGGGGCTGCCGGAGTTCATCAAAGGACAGGTCGGCCTTGCCCACCCCCAGCAAAGCTCCCAGGTTCCCGGTGCAACCGAAGAAGGTCGCGGCCAGTCCGACACCCAGAGAGCTAGCCCATGGCACTGAGGACAGGCCAAAGTCCACCACCCTCAAAGCCAAGCCGAGCCCCAACTCCCAGGGTGGTGGAGGCCCACGGCACAGCACCAAGACAGCAGGGGGCAGCCAGCCCCAGCCAGGCAGCGGGCAGCTCCAGAGTGAGACGGCCACCACCCCGGCCAAGCCCAACTGCCCAGGCCAGGGCCCCACCCCAGACAAGCACCCTCCTCGAGCCAAGGGCTCTCCCAAGGGGCCAAGGGAAGCTGGTGACCAGGGGCCCCGAGGGAGCCCGGGCACCAGGGAGGACGGGGAGGTCAGCGAGAAGAAAAGGAAGGGCCGGGCCCCGGGGCCAAGCAGGAGTGAGAGTGTGGGGAGCTTGGGGAGAGCCCGCGTGGTCCCTGAAAAGCCGCCCCGGGCCCCCCGAAAGCAGGCGACACCCAGCCGTGTGCTCCCCACCAAGGCCAGGCCCGGTAGCCAGAACAGCACGATACCACCCCAGCCCTCGGAGCAAGGGCAGGCGGGCCCCAGACACACCCACGGGGACTGCAGACGCAGCAAGGAGGGGCAGGGCAAGGCCTGCCCCCAGGGGAGGCCCCTGCACAGACCCCCGAAGAGGGACAGAGCTGTCCACGGTGCTGAACCTGCCGACCCCCGTGCCTGCAGGACCGCCGCGTCCCAGAACGACCTCCTCAGCCAGCTCTTTGGGCAGCGACTGACCAGCTTCAAGATCCCGTTAAAGAAGGACCCTCCCGAGTAATTTATAGCCGCGAGTGAGTACCTGGGAGCAGAGCTTGGAGCAGCCCGGCACGCAGGGGCTCCTGTCTATGCTGACGAGCCCCAGTCCTCTGAGGGTGTTGGACGGGGGCCACATGGCGATCCGCCTGACTTACGCAAGCGCTCGGAGTCTGGCGTTAGGGCTGAGACTGCGATACTTTGAGCAGGGCCTGGGGTGGACAGCAGTCCCTTTCTAGATGGAAGGTGAGGGTGAGCCCCTTGGAGACCACGCAGCTCTTTTCTCGGTACCAAGAACTCGAAGAGCGAGCCACCCCCCGCCCGTGTGCCCCATTGCCCAGGCGCAGTAGGCCACAGACGCCTCCTCTGAGGGTTTGCACGGGGCTCCCCCACCCCCCCATCATCTGGTGGGGAAGCGAGCCGAGGCCACCTGCGCTCAGGTGGCGACAGGCTCCCCTTAGTCTTCTTGCTGCTGTTGCTGGAATGGCCGCGTGCAGGGGCAGGGCTATCCCCTGCAAGAGCTGTTTGTGGGCCCCCAGGGTGCACCTGGCTTCTCTGACCGCGGGGTGGTGGCGGCCGCTGTCTGGGCTGCTGACAGAAACGCCGGTCTCTGGTGCACCTTGCCCCCTGGGGACTGGGTTCCCGTCGAGAACGTGGAGAAAGCTGCTCACCAGCCGGCTCCCGCCATCGCCGGGTCTCCATCCCCAGTCCCCCGGCCTCCGCCGATGCCCTTTCTAGAGCCTTCCTCCTCACAAGGAGCTCTCCGCTGCAAGTATCAGCAATTTTACTCTGAATTTCTGGTGCTATTTCATGTTGTAATGTGAATTCAGGCTTCCTTGGTGCGTTTCACCTGGGGGATTGGGCGGGAGGACCGGCTGGGGAGGCGCACGATGGCCCACAGACACCGGCGGCCCCGACAAGTCTTTCGCTGGCTCCCCTGCTGCCGGCAGGCTCCAGCCCCGTGGGGGTCGCGGTCCGCAGTCGGAGCAGCCAAGTGGGACACTGTGGGCCGGGGCGTGGTGCCGCGGCCCCGTCAGGGAGGCAACTCATGCACTGACATGACCCAGGGGTTGGCGCGCATGTCCTGTTGATGGAATCGTGTCTTCAAAGGGGGCAGGAGGGTAGGAGAGGCTTCCTTCTGTTCTTAGGTATCTCTGAGGTTCGTGGTTTGTGTCGTTCTGTTTTTTGTTTTGTTTTTTTTTTCTTTTTTACCTTGGGTGCAACATGTGTGTCAAAAGTTTTTATTTTGATTTTTTGAAAGAGACCAAATTGGGCCCAAATTGCCTTTCTCAAAGGTGCTGTGTGCACTCAGAACGCCTTTAGTGCTGATGAATAAAACACGGGGACTCCGAGGTTGTACTGTGCGAATCGTAGTGGACCCATCCCGTCAAATATATCCTCACTGTTTTCACAGAGACCCTCTGGCTGTGGCATCTTCCTCCGGCCGCCCCCCGCCCACCACCTGCCCCACACAAGCCCAGGGCCTGGCTCATAGAGCATCGGCTTCAGCGGATGCTTCCGTCCCTACAAAGCCGCACCCGAGCGGCCAAGCTCCCCTGGGCTCACGGACATGGCTGGGGCCCCTGGGGGATCAGAGTGAGGAAGTAAAGTGTTGGGAAATCATCAGCATGGCTCAGTTTGGGGGCCCCAGGACAGCAGCAGAGGCAGTACGAAGGGTCAAAGCGGGAGACACCACCCCACCGCAGGCTCAGACCCCGGGGCCCACCGTGTCCTCAAGACAACCCTCAAAGACCCCAGCGTCTGCAGCAAGTGCCTGGAGAGCAAGCAGGGCTGTCCAGAGTCAAGCACCCATCCTGTCCTGCCCCTGACCCCGGGGCACGAGGGGCACTCAGAGCAGGCCCCCACAATATGTGTGGGGGAGGGGAGCCACAGAGAGGGGGGCCTACACGTGGAGCTGTACGTGGGATCCCAGCACTTCTGCCCAAGCCCACGGGGCCCCCACCCACTCCTGCTCACCTTCCTTGGCCAGGAACACCCTTCCCAGGTGCTCCCGTTCAGTCCAAGCCCCTCCCAGCCATGCAACCCCCGCCCCGGGGGCCCGGGCCACCCTCTCACATGGACCTGCCTACTGTGTGCTGTCCTTGGGGGCTTCCAGACAGGTTCTGTGGTGAGCTGGGGTCTTTGGTCTCCTTGGGGGTCTCTGTAGCAGGGCCTCAGAGAGGGGGGCACAAAGGGGCTCAGGGTTGGAATGTGGGGTTAGGGTGGAGTGAGTCTGAGCTGTGTTGGCAACAGTCATCTGGTGATTTGGGGATGCAGACCCCTGGGGCCCAGCGGGGTCCGCAGCACTGGGCGCCTCTGTTCAACTCCCCAAACCTGGGGCAGCCAGGGACCATCCCAGTCCCAGGGAACAGGAGGGAAATTCCAGGCTCCGCCCCAGATTGCAAATCCGACTCCGACGCGGCCGGCGCCCGCCTGGCCGGCAGGTGGCACCATTGGCCCAGCTCCATGGCTCGGGCAGCTCAGCTGCCCAGGCCCCGCAACCGGCACAGGGGCACCCTGACCTCATCAACAGGCTCAGAGACACACGCTTACTGCACAGCTTCACCCACACCGACACCGGGGCCCACAGACCCACACACGGACAAACGCCACCTCACCCCGACTCACTGCAAGGTGAGTGACACAGGTGCATCCGGTGTGGGGGACCTGGCCTTCCAGAGGGCCCTGTGCGTGCGCCCCGGAGCACCCCGTTTGATTCACAGGACAGGGCTGGACAAAGACGAGGGGGTTGGGTCGGGAGCAGCCCAGGCACAGGCCCCATACAGGGACCGCAGCTCCCTGAGCCCCCGAGGGCCTGGCTCATCCCCTCTAGGAAGCCAGCGTGCCTGCTTGCCCCACGACTGCAGGTCCCTGTGGGAGCTGCCCCAAGGCAGGCAGGGTGGGCAAGGGGACACCAAATGTTAGGAACAAGGTCACATAAGTGGCTGTATTTTTCAGTTGCATCCTATACTAGGCCCAAAGCCCGGCCCCAATGACCCCTTGGCCCCACCAGCCCAGAGACAGGGTAGGAGAGATGGTTCCTGGGACCAGGTGAGGGAGTGCAGGTGCAAGGACGGGACAGGTGAGGCCCTGGGTGTGGGGGGTCGGGGCAGCTGCCCGTCGACCGGCCACCGGAGGGAGGGAAGCTGGTGGTAGGAGCAGGCATGCCCACCTCCTCCCCCAGGCCCCATAAAGGAGGAGGCTTCCCACATAGCCACAGGCTTCCCGCGGCATATCCGCCCAGGGACACCCCACCCCCGGAGAACACGGTGGGGTCAGAATCCTGCCTCCCGGGGAGAGTGTGTAGACGGCCACGCTCACACAGTGGGAAGACTCGGGACCAAAACAGACCCACAGAGACAGTCTCAGGAGTGAAGAGCCTCCGGAGAAGGACTGAATCTTTGCACTCTGGGGTGCTCCCCGGTGCTGGGGCTCCTCGAAGCACCCCGAGAGGATGGGACTTGGGGACCCCTGGGTCCTGTCCGTGTCCTCTGTGAATGTGGCGCATGTGGGCTCTGGAGCTCCAGCCCTGAAGCCACGTCCCCCCGGCCCCGTTTCTCTACCGGTCCAGTGGGTAGGCAGCAGGCAGCTCATTTCCTGGGAATGTGCCCTCAGGGCCCCAGGTCCCCCTGCAGGATTGTAGCCCTGGGAGTGGCATGCTGAGGCCCTTGGGGCCACCTCTCCTTCCCAGCCGCTCCAGGCCCGGGTGCCCAAGACCACGGCCCCTTTCCCACAGGACAGCCTCCCCCTCACCTGCAGCCCCCAAGCAGGGAGCTGGGCAGGCCGGGGCATTCCCCAGGCCCAGGGGTTGGTGGGTTTGGACCAACCGCCCAAACTGAAAGACCCACCCACAGGCCCATCTCTGGGGCGGTGCGCTGTGCCCTACGGGGAGTACGAAGGGGCAGCAGAGCCCTGGGTGGAGCTGGAAACCATCTCCTCTAGACCTCAGCTCTCCTGGCCATCAGTGGACACGAGAATCACCAAAAAGTATTCCAGCCAGGGGCTGTCTCCAAGGGGTGGCCTGCTGGACCCAGCCAGGTCTCCCTGGCGCTGCCTGGACCCTCTCCCCACGGCTGTCCCCTGGCCTCGGGCCTTTGCCTGGCCAGCACATCCCCTTTGTGGCCTCCAGAACCACCGCAGTGCCCCGGCTCCCCTCCCTGCTTTATTTATAGCACATTGCACCCTGCCACGTGCCCCATGGCCCACTCCTCCCCCGTGGCCACAGTCCCACTCCCGCCAGACCTCGAGTGACGCACTGTGCGTGTGTGGTCCGCAGTTGTCCCTGCGCTGCGTCAAGCAGGGGTTCCCTACGTGTTTGGGGTGGGAAGAAGGGAGGAAGGGCGTAGGGTAGGAGCGGAGGCAGGAAGCAGCGGGGAGAGAAGGAGAAAGGCAGGAGGCCAGTGGGGACACGAACATTTCCTATCTGGTGATGTCACATGACCCCAACTCTCAGAGATTGGGAAATATCCAGATAATATTTCCTGTCTGTGCCCAGGACGGCCTTGCCTGGCGGGGGAAGTGGCCACACGTGGGCAGTTGCGTGAACCGGTGGCCCTTGCTAACCCCCGAGGACCGTCTGCAGATGAGAACCGTCATGTCGTGGGATGTCCGAGATGCTGGCCTCGCAGAGGACCCCCGGGCTGCTCCCGCGTGGTCCCAGCCCCGCTCGCTCCGTCCCTAAGGCATCCCGGAGATCAGATAGGGTCCCCAGCTGTGGGTGCACTGCCAGAGCCCCGCGATGGGGGCCACGGAGGCAGCAGCCCACCCCCTACGCCTGCCCGCCCAGGCTGGCCGGGGCAGCACCTCGTTGTCGCCAGAGCTGTCTGGGCTCCTCCCCTGCCCCTCCCGCAGGCGGCCTCCTGATTCCTAACTTAATTTATTTTGACATCCTCGCTGCCGTTTGACCTCCTTACGGAGTCACGTGGTGCTTAAAACTCATTATCCCCCCATTGCAACAGGAAGTTAATTAAACCCTTCACAGAGCCAGTGTTGATGAATGTCAGGATGGGCCTCCGGCGGACCGGT